GCTTTAACACAATGGTCCATATCGGAATGAACAGTGAATCATTCTATAGTTACTTGACTGGAAACATAAAATTGAAGAACCTAGCCAATTTGGGAAAGTTGAAATAGAAGTTAGATCAACAAAATCCAATAAGGAAGCATTAAAATAAGATATTTGGTTGAAATATGTTCTCAAATCATGATCCTAGCCTTGATAACTCTTTAAGTTTGAAATACTAGAATCGAAGTTAAAACCACTTACAACCCCAACCTAGATTGTTGAAATGTTGAATCGTCTGGTTTGTTCTGTAGATGAAAACAACTCGTCTATACTGTAGTAGTGATGAGCATGGCTATAGTTTTCATGTCAATGGTAAATTTGTCTTGAAGTATTCCGATGGCTAAAGCTTCATTATACTTGAGCGGAAAATTATGATCTTTATACCAAAGAGAAAAAGAATGTTAATTTCTTCTAAGAATTGTTATGATATTTATACCAAAGAAAAAAAAAAAGATGAAAGAGACAAAGAAAAAAAATTAACAAAAGAAAATTCAAATTACTTTATTGTCTAAGAGTTGGCTAAATATTAATTTACTTATTAGAAAATATTAGATAGTCATAAAACACAATAAATAAGCAAAACTCATCTAGTACATAGTTTCAAATGGGAGGATAGAGTGAGAGTTTTGTGGATGCATGGGAAAAAAAACAAAAAAGAATGAAAGTTTTTCACTTTTTTGACAAAAAAAACTCTCTTCAAGAAATTATAAAATTTCTTCATGAATCAATTCCTCTACTGCCTGATGCAAAAAAAATAGTTCCTTTGATGCAATGTAGTTCCAATTCTTCCGCTAAACCGCACCACGACTAAAGTAAGCCGTTATGGCTTTCGTTTTTTGCCTCCAATACAGTTTTCTTCTATCTGAATCACAACATATGAGATTGTGAAGAACAAATTTTTGCAATAAATTAGCTCTCATAGTGTTCTTCTTGACAATGCGTTATTACCTCAAGAGTTAGAGGAGGTGACGAGAGCCAAGCGAGTTCTTCCAATTGTGCTAAATCAACATTTTTTGGCAGAAACATGATGATATTAGGGGTAATGGATTGAGCAATCTTAAACAAAGAGTACCTACACAAAACACAAACTTCACTAAAAAAGAACTGTAATTTCCATACTGTTAGGATTTAGAGGCTCAAAGTCGACAACTTTAGGAGCATAAATCACAGCACAAACCAAGCTACGAAGTTTTTGATGTCACAAGACGAGGCTAACATGAAAACAGAGAGTTACACAAGCAAAACAGAGTGTAACACATGAAAAACAGAGCATGTAGAGATGGAGAGA